TGGCAAACATGTTACAATCTGATTGTACAATCTATGCACAGTCTTCTCCAACTGATGGATTTTATATCCCCTTGAGCTACATAGTTATTGTAAAATCTGAAGGAGATTGTACCATCAGTTTGTAGTGCGTGTGGCAAGGGAAAAATTGTTTAAGAGTCATTGTGGGCCATCCGATTAAAAATAATGGTGACAATGAAGAGATAAATACTGCGTACACCACAGCATTGCATTAAACATACGATACCATGCATTTAGTGCACGCTATTGCACAATGCATCTTGTGTATATACTGTGCACTAGGTGGTTTGCGTTGCCCTGCCATTCATTGGCACCCCAATGCACCTCCTGGTGGCACTTCTTTCCCTGCAACGCACAGTATTGCGGTACCGCTCATCGCGCGGCAACGCAAGGCCACTGGGTGGTATATTGAATAGCAACGCAATGCACCTAGCGCATGGTACCACATGCATGGTGGGAATGGGCACTGAAACTGATTTCTTCTAAGTCAGCTCTGCCATCACGTGGTTAAATAATGAAGACCCATTGTTCTCATACATTGATCTGCTCTGATGGCTTGAGGCCCCATTCACACCAGGGCAGTTGCGGATCAGCGCAGATTTTAAAAGGGCGTTTTTAATTGCGTTTCAGCGCTGAAATGCAATTAAAAACGCCCAAAACCGCGCTGAACAGCGTGGTTCCATTGAAAGCAATATCGAAACCGCGCTGACCAGCAGAGCAAGAAAGGGTCAGGGAGCAATTTGGGTGGGAGGCGGTTCGGATCGCGCGGAGCCGCATGAGTGGTCCCCCCAGCAATGGATGGGATTGTTTATGTCGGCGGATCCGCACGGCCGAACCGCCCTGGTATGAACGGGGCTTGAAGCGATGGCGGGGCCAGAATCATGATACTCCTAAGGAGGTAGTTAAGAGCATCTCCAACATCAGAAGAACTCGGTAGCACAAATGGAGATTTCACAACCTCATGGAAAATCTCTGTGCTGCTTGGCCGATCCTTTAATTAGAAAGAAGGAAACAAAGAAAATGTCAACCTCAATGAGTCTGTCGGGCATGTTGGCCAAAAAAAATACCATGGATCACAAGTACTGCGTACACCGGGTAGAAGACTCCTTGCCTATTGTTCTTAAAGCTGAACTCCAGGATAAGCAAATATTGTCCTCATACAAGAGTCATGTGTATTCTTCCTTGAATCTCTGTGAGCTTTGTCTATTTCTTCCAGATCTGTGCAGTAATCCAGTGTAAAATCTGAAGCTTCCTGTAATAAAGACTGCTCACTGCTGCTCTCTCTCCTTGTGCAGGGTGACTGCTCTTCTCTCCACCCCTCCTGTAATAAAGACTAGTCACTACTGCTCTCTCTCCTTGTGCAGGGTGACTGGTCTTGTCTCCGCCCCCTCCTGTAATAAAGACCGCTCACTGCTGCTGCTCTCTCTCCTTGTGCAGGGTGACTGCTCTGGTCTCTGCCCCCTCCCCTAGTTTTCTGCAGGCAGCCTGTAGTGGGTGGCACTGCTAAGTCCCACCCAAAGCTCTGTTCTCTGCACAGACTATACACAGCACAGTGATAAGTCAAGATATCTGGATTTACAAAGGCACTGGGTGCACTTAAAGTGAATGTATTTACTTTGCGTTTTTATGGAGAAATATATTTAAGTGAAAGTTTTTGTGTCTGGAGTTCAGCTTTAAGGATATGGCAAAGCATCAATTGCTAGTCTAAGTTCAGATGCTATAATACATTTGCTGGTACTAATACTTATTCTCTGATCTTATAACCATTAATTATTCATAAATGCCTTTTACTCTTTTATCATTCTATTGCTTTCTCAATTAAAATAAAACCATTAGGATATTCCAATATAACCATTAAAAGAAGCTTTGTCTGTTCACCTAAAAAAAGCTATGGTATGTTAAAAAAAGCCTACCTATTGCATGTTTGGTGCAGTTTTCCGATAGTTCAAGAATGGCAGCATGTTCAAACTATAGCCCTCAGGGGCAGGGCCCTCCTTACCATCTTGTCTTGAATTGTATTGTGATTGAAATGTCTGCCCTATATTGTAAAGCGCTGCGCAAACTGTTGGTGCTATATAAATCCTGTATAATAATAATAATAATAATAATAACTATCATATTCTCAAACAATTCATCCCCACACAGCTACCTCCTCATGTATCACTGGCCCCTCCCTTTTAGACTGCAAGCCCTCACGGGCAGGGCTCTCCTTACCATCTTGTCTTGAACTGTATTGGGATTGTATTGTATTCCTTATATTGTAAAGCGCTGCGCAAACTGTTGGCACTCTATAAATCCTGTATTATAATAATAATGTAAAATGCATCAAAAATGCACAGCATTGCAATCACAATGCATGAAAAACTCAAAAGTATGAATGAAGCCATAACATATTTGATGCATAATATAGCAGCACCCTTAATGGTAGGTCATGGATTAAACATAGTTGTGTTGCTGAGTTTGTAATTGATATGGAACAAAATGGGCGATCATAGTGAGCCATCTAGTGGTTAATTTATAAACTGCAACTACTAATAGAAAAGGAAAACATTAAAGGAGAACTATGACATGAGTGATTTCCACTCACCTCATAGTTCTAAGCCGAAACCACTCTACAGTAGGAAGGACGGTGTCGGCACCAATTCAGAGATGATTGGAGGATCTCTAGCCGAGTGATACACAAATAAGATACGTTTTTGTTAATAGTTAAGGTATTTGAATGCATTTGTAAAATGTAACTCCTGAGTTTAGTGTCACTTTAAGGTGTCGATTTAGAAATCTTCAGCCCAGCCTTACGCTGGGCGAATGCCATTCGCACGGTATTCCCATTAATAGGAACTAAGGTGCATAGAAATCTCCTATGCTCCTCGGCTTCATCTAGTGTTAGAATGGCATGCGAACATCATTTGCGCAGCATATGGGTGGGTGGAAGATTTATAAATCAGTCCCTTTACATCAGCGGTTCCCAACCTGTGGGTTGGGACCCCTTCGGGGGTCGAATGACAATTTGCCAGGGGTCGCCGGGAGTCTCCCGCTATTAGATAGCGGCTCCCGGCCGCCCGGGTGAGAAACACTTTCTCCCGGAAAGGTTTAATCTGCTCGAGCAGAGTAAATCTTTTGCTGCGATCGTTTAAAAAAAAATAATTTCTGACATGGGAGCCCCGGCCGCCGTAAGTCAGAAAAAAATTAATAAATCAGCATTGGAATGCATAGCTACATTCCTATTGGCTATTTCACTTTGCAATAGCAAACTAGCTATTGCACCTGCCCACTGCTTCTGTCAATCAGCAGAGGGGGACCTGTAGTTCTCCATCAGGTCCCCATCTAGTGATTATCATATATTATTAGGGTTGCACAGATACCAAGTACAGTACTCGGTACAAGTACGAGTACATGTACCGATACTTTTGAGCTCCAAGACTACACTAGAGAAAAATTAAAAAATTAGGAGGCAGCTGTCATTTGTAAGGAGCATACGGAGCTCCCGGGATTTGTATATCTCTGTTTTAATGTACGATTTTGTTTTTATAAATATAAATAAAGGAATGCACAGATACCAGTTTTGCGAGTACGAGTACTGGTACTTGCCGAGTACTTACAAGTACGAGTACTGATACATTTTTGTTTATTGTCATGTGACAGTTTTTTGAAAACAATACAGACTAATGATTTCAGGACAGTGGTTGAGTGCCAGAGCCAGGTCCCAGCTGCAACCCTGGTAGATCTCATGAAAATGCCAAGTATCTGCACTGGTACTCAAAAAGTATCTGTGCATCCCTAATAATAATTATTAATAATAAAAGCTGACACCCTCGGCTTGTGTTTATATGGTTTGCCATTTTAGTTGTTACAGCAGTGGTTCTCAATCTGTGGGTCACTGTGTGATTTCTGCCGTGCTAGGTGAGAGTCCTCCTCAGCCCTCTCCTAGCGCAGCAGTGTCAGTTCTCCCGCCACGCCGCCAGATGTCGCTGCAGCAGCTGCGGCAACCCTAAATTTTACCGTTGGGGTCACCACAACTTGGCAAATGTTACCAAGGGGTCCCGGCCCTAGAAAGGTTGAGAACCACTGCTTTACATCAATGCATTGCAGGAGTGCATGTGGTAATGCAACGCACATCAAGGTGCTGTTCTTTCAAAATCTCCAACTCATCGAGATTACCGACTGGTTACGTCTCATCCAGTGACTTGCCAGTAGGCGATTTAGAGCAGATGGCGCATGTGCACGGTGTGCGCCAGCTGTGCCATTGTTAGAATCCTCATTGAGTGATCGAGCTCCTGTCACTGCATCTTCACAGTTCTGCAATCCCTTTCAAGTCCTCCAACCCACCGGCGTCCTGCCCGGTGAAGTTACTGGTTGCCAGGAGCTGGGCTGGACGCCGGACAAACAATCCCAGGTTGCTAAGAGCTGGGCGGGGAAATGTGCATGGCCCATACCTGGCTCTTAGCAACCTGGGACGCTCTGGTTGTAAAGGGGCGGCAAGCACACTGCAAACATTGTGCAGCAGAGCAGCCATTACACTTTACCTGACCCCCCCACATGACCCATAAGATGCCGTCTGAGGTAACGCGTGGGCACAGATTCTGCGCCAGATTTTTGTTCCAGGAACACCAGCGGTGATATTTTCTCAGACTTTTTTCACGTTATTGGATTTTCACATATTAAGTGGATGGATCACTGTTATAAAGACACAGGACACAATAATATTCCATGTAACAATGTTAATTATTGCATTTTATGTTTCACACTGAACACTGCTGGAACGCTGGTATTGTATTGTTCTATTTACAATGTAAGAATCGTTTGGTCACTACTAGTTTGTACACCCCTACAATGCCCAGCAGACCAGGCTTTCCCGTGTGAAGATGCTGTCACCATAGCAACAAAAGGAATACCCCGACAGACAGTTCAATGGCCGCGTTCAGCACTGTGGGCGGGCAAGGAGCTCCGTGACGTCACCACTCAGCTGCTCCGCCGCTGATCCAATTCCAAGATGGCTGCCGGTGGAAACTGATCTGCAGGTTGTGGACAGAGAGCGAGTGTAATGGCAGCAGATCCCTCGTGCGACCTGGACATGAGGCTGTAGTGGGGGCCCCGGGGCCCAGGTAAGGAGAGGGCTGGGCAGGAGAATGTTTGGCAGGAGAAGGTTGGTGGCTGTATAAGAACTTGTTCAGGTTGTACAGGTAGACACAGGCCATGGGGGTGGGGGGAGGAGGTGAGGTGAAATAGATCCTCCCATATACATTCCTGAGCTGACACTACAGCCTCTGTCATCCCACTAGAGGATCAGATAGCCTGGGACTGAGCAACTACAACTCCCAATGTGGCATGGCAGGCAGAGCTGAGCCATGGTTGTGCAATGGCTGTGGTACTACAGGTCCCAGCATGCCATGGCAGCAGTAAAAGGCAGCCAGGAGCAACCTGTGGGTATGGAACTACAACCCCCAGCATGCAAGACAGTGTTAGACTATGGCAGCTGGGGCATTACAGGTCCATGCATGGCTTGACATCCAAGGGCAATCCATTGTTATACAGTATATGAAGAACTACAGACCCCAGCATGCCTTGAAATCTTTGACTCCTGGCCTTCATGTTCTGGCTTGAGGTACCAGCTTGTGTCTCATTCTGAAGGTGGAACATAAAGTCACAGCATGGCATGACAGCCGGGGCTAAGCCTTAGTTTTATGATGTCTGGGGAACTACAGATCCCAGCATGCCATGACGTAGAACATGAAGTCTTCCATGTCATGGTCTTCCATGTCATGGTCTGTAGGTGTACAATGGATGTGGAACTAGAAGTCCCAGCATTTGCAATGCCAGCTAGAGAGACCACTTTATATAAGGCTGTGGGACTGAATAAAATGCCCTTCAGATGTGACCCAAGACTGTGCAGGGACTGTGGAGCCTGCAGTGCCCAGCCTGTAATGACAGCCAGAGGTGGACCTACAAGTCCCAGCATGTGATGCCAAACACAGACAAGGTTTGTAGAACTACAAGCCCCAGAGAGCCATGACAATTCAATACAACCCTTGACCTACATGCCCCGCAGGGCAAGCTGTGAATGTGGAGACCCAGTGTGGAATGACGACCATGGGTGAGCCTCAGGTCTTCATGGGTTGTGGGACTACAAATCCCAGCTTCAGTCACAGACATGGCAGTCCAGTGTTTGAAATCCTAGCCAGAATAATCTATATTTTGACCTGTGCTTCTTCCGGTCCTGGCTTTGGGTCCTTTTCAGATGTGACGAGGACTAAACGTGATCCCAGCTGAAGCCTGCCTATAGAGCAGCAATGGAACTACAAATGGCAGCATGCCCTGTCTGCCAGAGGAAAAGCCTTGCTCTCACTTGGCATGGGCATACAAGTCCCAGCATGGGCTGCTAGCTGTTCTTTGTGGGACTGTCCTAGCAAATCCTGGCAATCGGAGGCCGTGAGTGCCATTTTACCATGTACCGGGGGTCACCGTGACAACAGCACTGACCCAGATCTGATTCTGAAGGGCACCACCATCGGAACGTGTTCATATAATTCATAATGTATGTCCAACAGATAGATTTGAGCGGGGAAGGTCAGAACTCTTGTTGGGTTTCTGCATCTATCTGGGGCTCCATTAGAGGGATTTGCCAGCACTTCCTGTCAATGTCTTGCCAAGCAGGAAGTGAAGGAAACACTATAACACAGGCATGAAAACAAAAACCACCATAGGAGAGCTAGAACCCCTGACTGCTTTTTATTCTTTTCTGTGTCTCTGTTGACAATTTTCCATTTTCTGTTAGGTAAAACCTTTGTCAGCAGGACAGGAAGTGAGCGTAAATCTCACTCATACACTATAACGAGACCTGAAAACTGGCTTGGCTAACGCTGATCTCCGGGCACAAAATGTTATTTGAATATATTCCCCAGTAGCCATTTTGTGTGTGTGAAATTGCAAGCCTAGTTATTCCCTTGTAAAAGTAGCAGAGACATCATCACTGTGTTATACATAAACTGTGCAGAGATCAGAGCTGTGGGAGGGGCTCAGCAGTTCCACTAACTACAGGCTGCCTGCAGGAAACTACCGGAGGGGCAGACAAGACCAGTCACCCTGGACAACGAGAGAGAGCAGCAGTGAGCGGTCTTTATTACAGGAGGGGGCGGAGATAAGACCAGTCACACTGCACAAGGAGAGAGAGCAGCAGTGAGCGGTCTTTATTACAGGAAGGGGCTGAGACTAGACCAGTCACCCTGCACAAGGAGAAACAGCAGTAGCGATTGGTCTTTATTAGAGGAATCTCCTGGGCAGAGGTGGAGCTTAACATTAGATTACTACACAGGTCTTAAATGAATACATAAATAGATAGGGATGCACCGATTTATCAGCTGCCGAAACAAAGTCGAAAATTGCACTTTTGGCTAAATGCTGAAAGTGCCATTTTTGATATTATTGTGGTTGATTGTGATTGTTGATATATTGCGGATATTGTGGTGCATCCATGCTTTCTCTCCTCCCCGCTGGGTGCTGCTCTGTGTCCCAGTGGGGAGGAGATAAACTGTCACAGGCGGCCGAGCGCTGCGGGAGGAGAGCGCTGTGAGCGGCCGGCGTCCTTCCTCCTCGCACCGCTCAGCCTCCTATCACAGTCCGGCAGAGCGATGTGTGGGCGGAGACAGCCAGCGCTGTCACAGGAGGCTGAGCTCTCCTCCCTGCACCGCTCGCTCAGCCTCCTGTGACAGCTGTCAGGATGGAGAGCGGGTACAAGCAGTCAGTGATTGCTGAGTGTAGATAATTGAGGACATAGTATAGTTACTATATCCTCAATTATGAATGAATGGGAAGTGATCTACATAATCTCCTGCTCATTCATGATTGTGGTTATAGTAAACATACTCTGTCCTCATGTTATGAATGAACAGGAACACTCAGTATAGAGGATTTCTGTTCATTGATAATGGGCTGCAGGAAAAGAGATTGCGCACTATGCGTCCTCAATCTCTGTTTCTATTTTAAAAGGGAAATATCAGGGGTCTGTTTAGACCCCTAATATTAAAAATGTTTTTCGGTTTGGGCCCGACATTTTTTTTTCCATTTCGGTTCGGAGCACCTCCTAATTAATAGTAGTAAAGAATCAGCACACCAATGGGTAGTGTGTAAACACTCTTGCTTCTTCTTTAACCTCGCAAAATGTCACATCAACAATAATGTTTTCGGGGCTGCGCAGGGTCCCCTTAACATGACATGTTAAGCCTGATGAAGGGCACCCTGCGCGGTCCCGAAACTTTGCACTTGGAGATGTGACATTATGCGCGGTTAGAAGAAGAACCAAGAGTGTTCACACGCTAGCCATTGGTGTGCTGATTCTTTACTACTGCTTACATACATGCGGAGATCTGAGTTCGCTACAGCACCAATCCGCATAATAGGGGTATCCGGTTGGGTGTGTGGCAGTATCCCCATGAACATTTTTTTATCAATAGGCCCCATTATCATGCAGCCGCACTTGTGTAAGAATTAAAGGAATCAGTGGAAAACCTATCAGTGTGTGGCCTACATTAGTCTCTTTCCAGGGACAAAGCAACCCCTTGAGTGTGCAGGCCCAGAATAGACATGGCGGAAGTCTTTGCATCGGGATGATAAGCATTATTCCGCTAGAACAGGCTATTTCTATTCTCTCCCTCTCGATTGTAGGACAGCTGCAGAATAATCCCCGACCCACACAAGTCTTTTCAGCTGTCACTGCGGGAGACACCATGGAGCTGACATATGAACAGAATTAGACTTGCATGACTTGCTCTGGTGGGCTGTACTGATCCATGGCACTCCTAGACCTCAACCAGGACAATGCTTTTACCTCCTGCATGGTCCCTGTGGTCACTGACCCCCGCCATATACTTCATAGCGGCGTCACTTAGGGAGTTATTTGTTGTAAGGCAGAAACAGGAGATGTTGCGCAGCATTAGATGCAGCATTTGCATTAATGACAGCAGAACATTTGTCGGTTCACTTTGTGTGTAGATGGATGGCCGTGCTGTGACGTGTTTAGCATGGTAAGAGATTAGAAGAGGAGGATGCTGTTTCCTGTAGGGAACTGGCAGAACTAGTTAAGCCACGTTTTAAAGCTGCATCGTCCGTGCCGTTAAAAGTATTAATGTGGGTCTGCTCCTGCAGAAATATCAAGCATTTTGGTGCAGGATGTTAAAATGTTACTGTATGTTTAAAGGTGAACCCTGGGCACATCATTGAAATATATTTCTCACTAGTTACAAAGGATATAAAATCAAACATCACTATGCTATACATAGCCTGTGCAGGGAGCAGAGCTGTGTGAAAACTACAGGAGGGGGCGGAGACGAGACCAGTCACCCTGCACAAGGAGAGTGAGCATCGGTGACCGGTCTTTATTACAGGAGGGGGCAGAGACAAGACCAGTTACCCTGCACAAGGAAAGAGAGCAGTAGTGAGCGGTCTTTATTACAGGAGGGGGCGGAGACGAGACCAGTCGCCTGCACAAGGAGAGAGAACAGCAGTGACAGGTCTTTATTACAGGAGGGGGCGGAGACAAGACCAGTCGCCCTTCACAAGGAGAGAGAACAGCAGTGACAGGTCTTTATTACAGGAGGGGGCGGAGACAAGACCAGTCGCCCTGCACAAGGAAAGAGAGCAGCAGTGACCGGTCTTTATTACAGGAGGGGGAGGACACGAGCAGTCACCCTGCACAAGGAGAGAGAGCAGCAGTGAGCGGTCTTTATTACAGGAAGTGTCACACGGGATTCCTGCGCAGATCTGGAAGAAACACGCAAAGCTCAAGATTCAGATAACACACATGACTCTTGTATGAGGAGAATATTGGCTTATCTAGTTTTGGATAGAGTGGGGGAAGAGTTAGAACCTTTGTCAAGTGTTTATCTGAGGTTAAGTTAATCTTCTGATCTCTGCTAAAAGGAAAGTGTCGGCCTATCTGAACTGTGATTACCTATTCTTCAGCCGAGATCACATGACCAAATACATGGGCTTCTGGTCACATGACCATAAGCAGAAGAAACTTTAAGTTTCTGATTCAGGCACATTAACGGGAATTTATCAAAACTGGAGCAGCTGTGCATGTCAACCAATCAGCTTTTCTCTTTCATTTTCATATCTCAACTGAACAAACTGAAGAGAGACGCTGATTGGTTGCCGTGCACAGCTGCTCCAGTTTTGATATAGTCTCCTCGTTGTGTTCTGCTGATGTAGTTATTATGCAGCTATTAGGAATAATCGCTGTCACTATAACCAGAGCACTTTCTTTATTTCATAATGAAGAATTGCCCCGGGGATAGCTGACAGGATTAATACTTTTATCCCCCGCAGTGTAATTACGTGCGCCGTCTGATTGGAAGAGGCAGGTATTTATTTCCTTCCTCTGATTGTCAGCGATGAGTACAGAGATTATTTAACAGAGGCAAAGATTGACACAGCCTGTTCATGAGATACGCTGGTGATAAATCCTGTACGCAGGTGATAATGATGCGTTTGGCGGGAGGTGAGGAGCGTTTATTGTTTTGAGCGATTTGTGGATAGACATCATTTAACTAATATGGTATTTATTCTGTCATTCATTATACAGCAGTTGGAAGGTAATACTGCTCCACGCTAGGTCACCTGCGGGAAGGTTGGTTGGGTTTATATGAGACGGTTTTAGAGATGTAGAGGTTTCTTTTCCACCGATCCCTGTATGTAATGAGGAATTGATTAAAAAAACAACTTTTTAGTTTAAAGGAGAAGTGCACTTTAAAGTAAAGTTCACTTATACTTCTTTTTCTCCCCCACCCCTGAGCTAAACAATCACACCATCCCCCTCCTGTAGATGTGTACTTACCAAGATCCAATGGGTATTGTTCTTCTATTGTTTACATCCAGTGCTGAAATGCTCCCTCTGCTGGTCACACTTGCCCATTACTATGGGGTCCCTCTATGAAAGAGGGACACTTGTCTACAGACAGTAGAGCAGCATCCCTTGGATCATGGTAAGTGTAGATCTGCGGAGGGTGAGAGGGTAAGGTCATTTAGGTCAGGGGAGGGGGGGCAGAAAAGATTAAAGGAGAACTATGAGCTGAAAATCACTCATTGTTGGAGCCGACGTGTGACAATGAAACTGTCGCATATCGGCTCAATAGATCGGGAAGTGAGCGAACACATACCGTAGCTCACTCACTTCTCGATCATCTGCCTGCAGAGAGCAGTGACTGTCACTCACGACTCCCTGCAGGGATTCCCCCCCTCCCCGCTCCGATCCTCCAGCGCTGACTGGTGGAACGGACGCGGGGCGGGTACAGCTGGCTCTGCCTCTAGATAGGCAGAGCCAGCTGTCAATCACGCAGCTGGGTGGATCTCGACAGTAATGGCGGGATCTGTCCCGGCTGCGGCGTTCTCAGTATAAAGGTGGCCATACACTTTACAACCCTCGCAGAACTTTTGTCTTGCAAGGGTTGTAAAGTACTTAAAAAAATGTTCGATCTGCCCATCTTGGACAGGCAGATCGTACTTGCGGTCATCGCAAGCCCGCCCCGCTGAGGGACGGGCTTCCGATGACTGCAAACGGGCAGTGTGCGCACACCGGCCCGTTCAGCAGTTGTCGAACCAGCAGGCCATTAACCCGCCGAGAATCGTACAATTCACTGCTGGTTTTCCAGCCTGCTTGTTCGAGGGAAGACGGGCGACCGTACATTAGAAACAGTCGCACGCCTTCCATACACTGCACGATTATCGTACGATCGCAGGATTTCCCGCGATTCTCGTACGAGAATCGTGCAGTGTATGGGCACCTTTACGCGAGCTGTAGCTCTCTATATACTGAGCTTTGGGTGACGGGAGGACGCTAGTATATGTCCTCCCGTGACCCTTAGGAGAACTATGGGGAAAAACACCTACCCCATAGTTTTCCTTTAAGAGAACTATGGGCAAAAAAGTTTGGGCCATAGTTCTCTTTTAATATGAAGGAAAGGGGAAAGATCTATATGGCTTTGGGAATAGGTGGGTATGTTTTTTGTATTATGTTTTATCATGTGTAATAAGAGGATGTTTTTATCCTTTGATGAACCTGTCTGGTGGTCAATAAATGTAATGACTGTTTTGTTTGAATACATGCTGTGATTGTTACATGTGTAACAGAGTATAATCTATGGTGATTAAACTGTAACGATACACCTTCACACTCGCAGCAAACATTGTCTTGGTTTTCCCGGAAGCCATGACGGATATAAAGTTTTACACAAACTTGACATTTTTATCTGCATTTCAGAAGACAATGGGGCTTGAGTAAACACGTCTGTTCCCAGGTGAACTGTACAATTAAACAGCTTCATAACAAACGCGGTGCTGGTACAGGTGGCCCTGCCTCTAGATAGGCAGAGCCAGCTGTCAATCACGCAGCTGGGTGGATCTCGACAGTAATGGCGGGATCTGTCCCGGCTGCGGCGTTCTCAGTATAAAGGTGGCCATACACTTTACAACCCTCGCAGAACTTTTGTCTTGCAAGGGTTGTAAAGTACTTAAAAAAATGTTCGATCTGCCCATCTTGGACAGGCAGATCGTACTTGCGGTCATCGCAAGCCCGCCCCGCTGAGGGACGGGCTTCCGATGACTGCAAACGGGCAGTGTGCGCACACCGGCCCGTTCAGCAGTTGTCGAACCAGCAGGCCATTAACCCGCCGAGAATCGTACAATTCACTGCTGGTTTTCCAGCCTGCTTGTTCGAGGGAAGACGGGCGACCGTACATTAGAAACAGTCGCACGCCTTCCATACACTGCACGATTATCGTACGATCGCAGGATTTCCCGCGATTCTCGTACGAGAATCGCGGGAAATCCTGCGATCGTACGATAATCGTGCAGTGTATGGGCACCTTTACGCGAGCTGTAGCTCTCTATATACTGAGCTTTGGGTGACGGGAGGACGCTAGTATATGTCCTCCCGTGACCCTTAGGAGAACTATGGGGAAAAACACCTACCCCATAGTTTTCCTTTAAGAGAACTATGGGCAAAAAAGTTTGGGCCATAGTTCTCTTTTAATATGAAGGAAAGGGGAAAGATCTATATGGCTTTGGGAATAGGTGGGTATGTTTTTTGTATTATGTTTTATCATGTGTAATAAGAGGATGTTTTTATCCTTTGATGAACCTGTCTGGTGGTCAATAAATGTAATGACTGTTTTGTTTGAATACATGCTGTGATTGTTACATGTGTAACAGAGTATAATCTATGGTGATTAAACTGTAACGATACACCTTCACACTCGCAGCAAACATTGTCTTGGTTTTCCCGGAAGCCATGACGGATATAAAGTTTTACACAAACTTGACATTTTTATCTGCATTTCAGAAGACAATGGGGCTTGAGTAAACACGTCTGTTCCCAGGTGAACTGTACAATTAAACAGCTTCATAACAATATGGAGACTTTGTAGAGTTCAGTACAGAACAAGTTGTACACGTCTTTTAAGTACATCTAAACCCAACACATTATCTTCCTACTCTGGATACAGAAGCAAATCTTTAAAACCTGTCTCGTATTTTTTAGTCATCCCGTTGGAGAGATTTTCCTTTACCTGCTGTCCTGTAGACACAAAAGGAAGTTAGAGGAAATCTCTTCAAAGTAATGCTGACCATACATAGCTCTGGTAAAGCTGTGGGTAGCTCTGCCGTCACCATTCAATTCACTTGTTGAAGGAGCCAGCTCGAAAATTGGCTGCATTCACTGTTCAGCCGACAATCGGCTGCAATCACTCTTTGAGTTAACTGACAGCTGCAGATGCCGGGTGCCAAAATACAAAGCATGCAGGGGAGATTCCCCCATCTACGCTGTTTGGCATGCATGGGGGCATTGAATGTTTTTTTTATCATTCAGCAGTGTATTTATGGTTTGTGTTTTCTTTTGCAGTGCCCATCTGACATCATGTGGAATTGGTACTCTGGGGATGGGACACAGTCCTCTGCAGCAGTAAGTTAATGTTATATATATACAATATAACACACAGTTGACCTGTCCAGGAACGCTCTTATCTAATATTATTTGTAATCGTGCACCTATTGTAATCGTTATGTGGCTGCATAGCTTACAGAAGGTGACAGCACTTTAAGGGCCCATTCAGACCAGAGATGTGTGTTAATCGCATGGTACCATGCAACGTACCTACCGCGCATTGAAATTGCAGGAGATGCACTGCTGTACCATTCCTTTAAATGGCACCCCAAAAGCTCCTCCTGCCTGCAATGCAGTTGACTGTGCCGCGATTCTGTGCGTTGTGGTGTGGTTGAAAAAAAGGAGTGCACGCAGTAAAAGTTTATTTTACAGATTCTGTCACTGTGACTGCTAGTAGACATCAAACACATTTACAGTACTTGTTGCATTCCTTACCGAAAGTCCCTTGTAATGGGGTGGGTGGGTATCCTTTTGGAATAGCAAAATGTTCATTCATTTGCAGTTCCTTGTCAGATAAACAAGCGCTTTCGGGACCGGGCAGGATCCTTTCATCAGGCTTAGCATTGCTCCATCCATACTCCATCTGACAAGGAACTGCAAATAAATAGACATTTTGCTATCCTAAAAGGATTTGGTGTGCTGGTGACGTTTCTATTTATTGCTAGTAGATATCGTCACAATCTCGGATATAGGAATCTGTTCTATTTTTTTAGTTCAGACCGTTCAGTTAAACAAAAAAAATAGAACAGTATATGGCCATCTTTAGTTAGCGGTGAGTGAGATTTCACCGCATGTCACTTTTACGAACGCTTAGGAGCGTTGATGGTGGAATCCCCGCTTTTTCCTTTGCATTGTGACAGCGGCCGCCGGTTGTTCTGGCATTTTCCAACTGGCTCCTTCGATCAACTGATTTAATTTGAGTAAACATAACTTCCTGCAGCCCCTCCTTAACATTACATGAGTGGGAGGCTATGTGTTTTTTTTTTTTTTTTAAGCAAATAACACTTAAAAGAGAACTGGGTGTAAGTGTTTTTCCCCATAGTTCTCTTAAGGGTCACGGGAGGACACAAACTAGCGTCCTCCCGTGACCCAAAGCTCAGTATATCGCGAGCTACTGCTCGCGGTATACTGAGACCGGTGCATCAGGGACGGATCCCGACAATGCTGTTGAGATCCACCCATCTGCGTGAGTGACAGCTGGCTCTGCCTATCTAGAGGCAGAGCCAGCTGTGCGTGCCCCCTTCCCCGTCCGTTCCTCCAGCGACCGCCCCCTCCCCCGTCCGTTCCTCCACTCAGAGCTAGAGGATCGGAGAGGGGAATCCCTGCGGGGAAGTGGTGACTGACAGTCACGGCTCTCTGCAGGGAGATGATCGAGAAGTGAGCAAGAGACGGTATGTGTTCGTTCACTTCCCGATCTATTGAGTCAGCGTGTGACAGTCTCATTGTTACACGTCGGCTCGAACTATGATGATGAGTGATTTTCATTCACCTCATAGTTCTCCTTTTAACAATGTAAGCATCAGTTTTTATATTTTTTTAATTTTACTTATGCACTGTGATGGGAACGTATATAAGATATAAAGTAGGTGTTATCCCAATTTTGACGGCAAAAGTGTAACTACTCTCTAAGCTTTCCTTATATTGTATATTTCCGATTTTGTCATCACCCCTCCATTTCTAAGTTTGTACCAATTGATCCTGCCAGTGCTGCTGCTGTAGCTTCGATTCCTGCACGGGGCCAACAATGCCACGCTACCACTTCTGAATTTGCAGCATTGTTGGCCCTCTGATCTCTCTCCCTATGATGTCATCACATTATTATTACAGGTATTTACATAACAGTGTTGGCAATTTATGCATCGCTTTACATAGTGCACATTCACATCAACCCCTGCCTTCAAGGAGCAATCTAAGGCCCCTATCTCACATACATACAGAGCCGATTTAGATAGGAGCCAATTAACCTTCCAGTCTATGGAGTGTGGGAGGAAACTAGAGTACCCAGAGGAAACACAAGCAAGCACAGGAAGAACATGCAAACTCCTTGCAGATAGTGTCCTTACTGGCGTTTGAACCAAGGACTCCCAGTGCTAGAAGGCAGAAGTGCTAACAACTAAGCCACTGAGCCATATCGCATCACTATGTCTATCCTCACAGAGACATTGACAGTCAGCAGACAATTTACTTTCTGTTCCACTGCTCCTTCCAGCCTCAGCGTCATAACATTCTGCCTCAACAGGAAGAAAAGGGAGAAAAATATCTGCAATCACACGACCTGGATTATAAGTGCAAAACAAAAGTATTTACAGGTGTATTTTTATAACTAAAGTGTTTCTAAATACTAATAATAATCATCTTTGTGATTTATTTATTTAGTAGATAATTGGAGGCCTGATTCTTTTTGAATGCAGAAAAAATATGGAATTAATCTGCGATTGCCTTCTGTTTGCAGGCTTCTGATAATCCCGGCGCTGGCACTATGTCAGTGGCAGAGCTAACCGAGCAGTTGGCACAGACTCAGCAGCTGGTGGTACAGCTGAAAGATCTGATCAGGGAGAAAGACAATGACCTGCGCAAGAAGGATCAGCAGCTTAAGGTCTGTTCTTACAGTAATAGCTGTGGAAGGAATGGGTTTGTAAGCGGAATATTTTGCCTATAAGCAGCTCGTTTGTGTGTTTAGCAGCGGTGTGTGTAATGAGTACATATGACTGTGCTGCTTGTATAAGCTCAGACACCCAGCAGGCTGAATTTATATTGACAAAATAATTTGTATACCAGAGGACGATCAGTAAGTGATGCTTGATTGCAAGGCCTGAAAGAAAATTTAAAATGTCTTATTTAGCAGATAAACTCCTTGTCTTGATTCTTAGCTCACCGATTTTGTTAATTTTGACACTAAACTCAGGAGTTAAATCACAAAAAGTACCCTATGTATTAACAAAAATGTATCTTATTTGTGTATCACTCGGCTGTAGATCCTCAAATCATCTCTGAAGTGGTGCTGACACTGTCCTTCCTTCTGGAGGGGGGCTACTTTTGTTCTCCATGGTTCCTGTGTGTGTTGTAAAGTAGTCACGGCTCCGAGCTTGCTCCTGTGATGGACTACAATCTCATGTTTAGTTTACTAATTTGTACTGAGACTGTGGTCCTCCCCTGGATTGAGCTTGGAGCGGTGACTACTTTACAACGCACACAGGGACCATGGAGAACAAAAGTAGCCACCCTTTAGAATGAAGGACAGTGTACCATGCCTGCACATGTCGGTGCTGTTACTTGTAGTTACCGTTGGACAACACAGGGGCACAATTGGGAGACAGTTGTCACCCCAAAAGGAAGTGCTTGAACAATGACCCTAATGCCAGGATCACCAGCTGTTCATTTAAAGAAAGTTGGAGATTTATAAAGATTGAAAACAACTTTAAAACGGTGTTTAAATTCTATGAGAGTTTAAAAGAGAACATTGGGGTAACCTTTTTATCCCATAGTTCTCTTAAGGGTCATGGGAGGACATATACTAGCATCCTCCCGTGACCCAATTGCCCACGATATACTGAGAGCGACGCAGCCGGGATGGATCTCTACAATTATGTTGAGATCCTCCCAGCTGTGTGAGGCAGAGCCATTGGTTCCCGTTCCCCCCCTGTCCGTTCCTCCAGTCAGCGCGGGAGGATCGGAGAGGGAAGGGGCGAAATCCCTGTGGGGAGTGGTGACTAACAGTCACTGTTCTCTACAGGGTGATGATCGGAAAGTGAGCCAGCGACGGTATTTGTTCGCTCACTACCCGATCTATAGAGTCGACATTGACAGTTTAATTGTCGCACGTTGGCTCAAACTATGAGGTTGAGTGAAAATCACTTACCTCATAGTTCTCCTTTTAAGGATTGAGTTTAGATCTTCTTGAAACGGTAAGTCCTTGACAACTGTGGAACTTTAGCATGCTACTTTTTCTGCACTCCTGAGACCTCACTGTAGACTACACTGCAGGTGTACAATACAACCCAGTCTAGGACCCACCCCAGCTAGTGATGGAACTGTAAAGGAGTAGCAGCTTGCTAAAGAGATAATCACTCTGCCCTCCTCATACTAAAAAAAAAAAAGATTTTTATATTTATTTTATGCCAAGATGGTTACATTTTTATAATTTTTTTTTGTATACAATATCCATTGATGTAACAAGCTTTAGTCTTCATACAATAAAAAGCAGATGGGTATCATGTTCTGCATAAGGTGTGTTATTGAGAAATGATGTTGGTATCTGATATCGTACTCCTGGTGTATTATGTTTCTGTTATGTGCACCAAAACATCCAGAAGTAATGTATGAGCTTGTGTTGCTTGTTAGCTGTCAGTTTAAGCAATGACAGGTTCACTTTACTGTTATAAAATAATGCTATGCAGGAGGAAAAGGAATCTTCAGAAGCCAAGGTCTCGAAAGCCAAGCTCCAAAGCAAAGCCAAGATTGCATCATTAACTTCTCAACTGGAAGAACTGAAGATGCAGGTGGCTTCACCCGGGGCACAAGGAAAGAAATCCGAGAGCAAAAAGGTAAGTGTTTACCTGGAGTTCTCCAAGTGCCGCTAAGCCTAAAAACACATTTCAGGTATTTATCTCCTACTCTGACCAGAAGTACTGATTGTAGGATGGGACCTGTGTGAAATGTAAATGTGCTACACCAAATGTAACATGCACCTGCATAGATAAATTAGCCTATCCCAAACATGAGGAATGTAAACACTGGAACTGCTGAAATGCCACCCACGTAAAAAGGAACTGAACTGTTTTAACTAACTCTTTCCCCTCAGCTTGCCTTTTTTAGGCACAGTTATTAATCCTCTCCCTGAAAATCATGTTAAAGGACCTGTACTGTGGAAGTTGTGCCAAGGAAAGGCAAGCGGAGAACAAACAACTAATTGAATGTATTGCTTGTAGGCTCCCTGCAGCTGATTGTTTTCCCATTACTGACTTACCATGCCTTTGTTCTGCACTGTCTTTGTGTGGAGGTGGCCATCTTAGTAGAGGCAGGGCTTTGCTGCTCATGACAGAGCTGCTCCTCTGATGACTGGTGGTCTAATGACTGGTGGGGGAATATTCAAGAAACAGCGGAAGTGGTTCAGAAAGTATAGATCCACAGAATCCATAAAGCAGAGGCAGGGAAATGCATGCCGTGCAGGTCCAAGTACAGCTTTCTCTGGCAAGCAGCTCGATACAGATATCACCAAATCTCACTGTGAATCTGGTGAGACTAGCAGACAGTGCAGTGTGACATAATCTAAGGCACTGCCTTTCTATGAGGATGTAAGATACAGGAATGCCTAGGTGCAGGGTTTGCATTGCTGTTTAACACTTAGTTTACCCTAATTAGCCCTAATTAACGCCTTCTTCCCTTTAAAGTGACATTAAACCCTCAGATTTTTTTTTAACATAAACCAATACTGTAATCCATGGTATTTTCCCTTCTCTTTGCTGCTCTTCCTTTTTAAATCCTCCTGTCTTCTCATGCTTGGGGAGAACTTCCCTTTGCAGCTGAGTGCCTCTTCCTGTAGTGCTGGCTCAGGTTGCAAACCTACACACAGACACCATGTATCCATTCCAGAGACGAGGCAGTCTGCTGCAAAACAGAAGTTCTGCCCAGCATGAGATTTAAAGGGAAGCATACAGCATACAGATTTAAAAGGAAGAGCAGCAAAGAGAAGGCAAACAACCATGGATTACAGTAAGGCGCACATTACAGTATTGTTTTATGTTAAAAAAATCTGAGGGTTTAATGTCACTAACTATTATTTTCAGGAGTTTTTGTTTTATTTATTTTTTTCCAAAAGTGACTTTTTTTTTTCGTGTCGCTTAAAAGAAAAAAGAACAAGCCTTTATTTCATTTGTAGCTAACTTTGCAATGTTTTTTACCAGAATCATAATTTTAGTGTCATTTTAAACAGGACAAATTGCACAATAAAATTTATACTTTTTATCTACAGTAGGCAATATCGTCAAAAGAAACCAGATTTGTCCTAAAAAAATGATTAATTTATTATCTTAAGTAATGAGAAATAGAGTCCCATAGTAGAAGTGTAAACATTGCTCAGGTCCATAGTATACAGGCGCCAGAGCTTAACTGGTTAAATTACAGTTCTCTTCATATTCTTAAGAAATGTAAAAGTTTTTGTGGGTTTTTTTTCCAGGGTGATGCAGACCTGGAGAATGCTTCTGCAAATCGAGGGAAGATTCTAGTGCTGAGGAAACGAGTGGAAGAATTAGAATCTCAAGTAGCAACAAAAAATGAAGAGCTCCAAAAAAAGGTTTATATATCTATTCTTGGTGTAAAAATCCAGGGTTAAAAATGTCTTCTTGTTTGGTTGCCACACAGTGAAGGGCTTTAAAAAATTATATATCTATATATATATAGTGCAATATAAATGGGTAAGCCGTATTAGTCCAGTAGACAAGATGTCAAAAAAGACAAACGCAGTATTGCAGTGTGCAATGATACCTTTCTTATTGGACTAAAAAATATATATAAAAGACAAGCTTTCGAGAGTGAACCTACTGCATGCTGACAGAAAAAGTGCCAGCATTTCTGTACATCAATGGAAGCTTCCACTGCAACATTTCTAGGCTCCCGGGTACATCAGTGCTGATAATGCAAGTCAATGGGAGCTCTGAATAAATGCTTATTATATGATTGTAGGCTTTTGTGAAGTGCTTTAAAAATGCTGAAATTGTTTTTTTTGATCATGCTATGCTAAAGCCTGGTAAAGCTGTGTAGGTATTGATGAATGTCCCTTTTTTTTATGGTGTTACCAGGGCTTTAACTGTATCCAGAATAGTAGCATTTAGTATACAATCCAATAGCAGGTTTCCCCACTACGGGCTAAAGCTGTTCTCTAATTACTTTCCAGGTGGCAGAGCTGGAAGCGCAGCGCCTGCGTGGGTCTGAAATGGATGCAATGCTTGTGGCAAAGGAGAAGAAATTGGCTGAAAAAGAAGCATACATTGTCGACCTACAAATTGCTGCGGCCTCAAATCTCTCTCAAGACACAGTTGTTTCAGAAGTAAATGTGAAGGTGATGATTTATTTTGGACATTAAGCTTTCATCAATTACATGATTGCGATAATTGCTAACATCGTTTTGTCCTGGCTCAGGCAGGGAGCCCCTGTGCGTCACCTCCCCAGAATTCCCTGCACACTCGGCACTGTTCCCAATCCAGGAGCCACTTATTTCTCAGCCGGAGGCTGAGGTGTTCTGGAGGGTTAGTCTGTGCTTCTTGTATGCTCACATGGCAGGAATTCAGGAGCCACACAGGAGGACAAATGAGTGTGATGATGAATAAACAATACAATTAAACATGGCCAAGGGTTTTTTTCTTATTTTTGGTTATTCTCATAAATGCAGTAGATGGCAACATGTTTTCCTTAACCCTACCTTGCCTTAGAACAAGGGAAATACCTGGCACATGTGACAGCTCTGGGTCAATGACAAGGACCCGCATTGTCACATGGGGAGAGTCAATAGCCTTGTGTAAACTATAACAGAACACCTTGCACTCTCCTCTTCTCCATAACATGGGGCAAGTGTTCTGTTGTCCTTAACACTCTTCCTGAGACATTGTTTGATATAAGACTGCCGAGTGCACAGGACAGAGGACAGTACAGGATTTTCAGCAGAATCACCAGGCATTCATTTGCACTTATCAAACAGATATAACAAAATGGTTATATGTCATATTTATGGCTGAACTCCAGGATTGTAAAAAAAACCCTGCAGACACCCCCCCCCCCCTTTTCCCTTGTTAAGTCAAGTGGTAAGGAAATAAGATTGAATACCTTATTCCTCGCTTCAGTGCTCTTCTCTCCAACACTCTGCATTGTGGGTGGGCTCTCCCCATCCTCACGTGTAATGCAGGACTATTGGTCTTGCATTGCACTTGAAAACATTAGCGTGTTGTTCCTGGCTGAAGCCCTGAAGAGAAGAGGCTTCAAGGGTACCTGACGCACAGGAAGGCTGCTGCAGCGAGGAAGAAAGTAAGTATCTCAGTCTATTCCTTTACTCCTAGACTTAACGAACATTTAACCCTGTGTGGGGGGATAGGGATGTCCCGATACCAGCCATTTTCATGAGTACCTGTACGCGTGAAAATGCCCAGATGCTTAAGGCCAATGCCGGCCCTTTTTGTCGGGACCATGGCAGCCTGCTGGGGACCTGGCAGTGCATGTCCATTTCTATACCGCCTGCTCCTCCTTCCTGGCACAGGCACAGCCATGGACAGCCCCACAATACAGTAGACACAGTAGAGCCCCGGACACCTTCACCTGTCCGATCAGCTGAGAGCCCTGCAGAAATCCACATGTTGCGCAGTTGAGATTGCAGCCTTCTGCTCTGGTGGTATATATTGTGCTGCCATTGTGGGATTTATTGTGCTGCTGTGGTGGGATGTATTGTGCTCTGCGGACATCTGTATTTAGCCCTGGTGAGAAACTGCCCTAAAATCATTAGTCTGTGTTTTAGAAAAAATGTCCCTTTACGAAAAAGTATCTGTAATTGGTATCGGCAAGTACTTACATTTAGTATCGGGACATCCCTAGATTGGGACTTTATTTGACCGAAAAAGGAGCATATAGGAGAACATTTTTAACATTTACATACACTTTAAAAGTAAATAAAACAGATTGATGAGATTTGATTGATGAGGCTGATATTACATTCATGTATGCAGAACAATTAAAAGGCTGAAACATGACAAGTCAGTTGCATTGCTGTGTAGTTTGTTTTTATTCTGGAGCTGGCAGTCTCAGTGTTCCTCTTATCTTTATCCAGAGCCCGTCATCCTCACAAGATTCCACCCAGGACCTGCAGATCCTCATCAATAACTTGAACAGGAAGGTGGGAGAAAGTGAAGAGAAGTACAGCCTCCTTCGTGAGCAGACAGAAAGCTTGAAAGCCCTTCTTAACAAAGAGAAGATTCAGTTTCAGGAGAAGGAGGCAATGTACACAGAGAATGTAAGTGATCTGCCTGTGCTGTTTACCCCTGTCTGCTATATATATATATATATATATATATCTGTAAGATGGACCTATCATTGAAGGGTCAATCCGTCTAGAAGTGTTATTTCTTCTATTGGTAGACACTGGAGAGTTAAAACCACCTGACAATTGCATAATTGTTCTTGGGGTACCCTATTATTGAGATCTCACCACTTGGGTTCCCGGGACTGCACACCTGCTGTGCCCTTAATGAGGGCCTTCTCTTCTACTGGAGTTTTTGTGCATTTTATATTATGGAGAATGTCATACGAGGAGCTAGAACACACAAGGGTGGACAGAAACACTAAAAACTGGCAGAACAGTGGAGCATTTGAAAAGTGTGGCTGGGGATCTCACTTTTGAAGTATCCATGACTTATAAGAAGCCTAGGACTGGCTCAGCCCACTAGACCCAATCTGTAGCTACAATATCACACGTGGGTGAAATGACCCTTTTAAAATGTACACTTCATATAAATTCATATAAGTTAATATGGCATATGTTGACCTTACCAAATCACATAATTATTTTGAGTTATAAAGTGCACCTTTTCTTATCATAAACCAAAAACTGTTACACCCCTCTCAATCCTGTAGCCTAGATCACCACCAGTAAGAGGTTCAGCGAGGTTCAAAGGAATATAACACACATGTGTAATGAGCAGATATGACACCCCCCTCAACCCCCCCTTTATAGAAGCACCTAATAGATGGAAGGTTTTTAATACATTATCTCACATTGATAAAATTACTTGCATATTTAATTTACTTATACTGTTGATGGACTGTCTGTTCGAGGTATCAGCTACCATTTAAAAAAAAGAGTAGATGATACTTAGAACAGACTTCCAGTAGAGTTAGTAAGCCAGTCAACAGTAAGTGAATGTAAACATGCACACGACAAACATTGATCTATACTAAGACTATACTAAAAACAGAGTGGCAAATTTGATCGAGCACTTGGTCTTTTTCTGCTGTCACTCTACTATGTTTCCTTGATTTGTTTTCCTTTACAAAGGCTTAATCATTTATAGTTTTACACTTCACCAGTCGTCTTCTCACTTATTCACCAAGAACTTGGCTGTGCACCTTCTTGATGCCACAAGCCAGAATCTTCAGCATCAGATCCGCACTGCAATCTCTCTTCAATCCTATGGAGAGCTATACTTCATATACACGATGATAGATGGCAGATTTCTTCTTTCATTTAAATCTATTGCAGTGTTGTTGAAAGAACCTTGTGAAAATTAAATACAATAAATGTTTTTGTTTTGTTTTTTTTCTTAACAGATCTGTTATTTAAAATTGTCTCCTTTTATTAAACTGTGTTATGCTGCAATAATGTATGTAATTTTTCAGATTCGGGTCTATCAAAATATGATTCTGGAAAAGGAGAAAGAGATGAAGGAGTTATCGCAGAAACATGATCAGGAGATCTTCAAACTTGCAGCTAAATCTGATGCCACCGCTGACCTTCACCAGGTATATTGTGTGACAGAATTGAAAATCCTGAAAGTTTTGTATGTCTTGTAAGCCATTTTTTAGGTGTCTTTAAGGCTGGTGTGAAGTAAAAGGAATTAGCATTGGTTCATAGACGCAGGAATTATTTTACATGATTTATAGCCAAACTGCATCTAAAACTTGTCATGTGCGCCATTTAAAGTCCTTTAAAAGGGTTTGACAGCTGTCTGTTGCTGAAGTTGAACTTATGATAAGCTGTGAATTGGAGTTTAACATTAAGTCAGACATGCCCTTTAGCAGGGAGGACTGACCATCCGTCCAACCAATCAGCAGTACACCATTAGGATTATTTTCTGGTGTCTTTCCATGTATTTGTTACCATTATTAAGATTTTTATATAGGATCTTCTATCCTTAACAGCTGCTTAAGGCCCTGAAACAGAAGCTGCATGAAGAAGAAGAGGTTCTATCAGGGAAGAATCGGGTGATCGATGTCTTACAAAAGGAGCTGGACAATAAGGATCAGCAAATCGCTGTAAGTGTCTGAATGTAATTTCACACAGTAATGCAATGATATATGGGACTTTATTTCTTAACGGGGTGTAAATGCAGGAGAGTGTAGTTCTTTAATCCACTCAATCACAAATCTGCTTTTAATAGTCTCACTGCTAAACGGAGACTGACAGGTGATTTACAGGTCACCGACGAAGGGATCTGGTTGAAGAATGCACCATGGTCTAGCCATGTAATGAAACTCAGTATGCAGTCTTATTTGGTAGATATGTATGATAGAATTCTGTACATTAAATAAAGCCAGCTTGATTTTATTTTGAGTTTACCCATATTTATAAGGATGTCTATTATAGGTTCTGCAATCATTGCAGTTTGTTATTGACAATTAAAAAAAAAACAAAAAAAACCTGTGTTGTGGAATCTGAGCCCAAAAATGACAGATAAAGTGCTATTCATCAGTATTGTCTCTGGGCTCCATGCAGCTGATTTTTTTCCCATTATTGCGGTGTCTGTGTGGGGGCAGCCATCTTTGCTTCACCATGTCAGACCTGTCCCCTTGATATCTGGGAGGAAGGAGTAGTGTTCAAGCAGGAGCGGAGGTGTAGAAGATGATCCACACAATGAATAAAGCAGAAGCAGGGAGGACCATACATTGCATGTCCTCAAGTACAGCTTCCTCTCCAGCAAGTACAACAGTGAGCAGCACAGTATTAACAGCACCAAATCTCATGAGACTAACAAGGATACTAGTGCCTTAGATGATCTTTAACTGATGATATACAGCTACGTAGCTCTAAATACTGGGAGTACGCTGTCGCTTTTTTAGAAGGATGAAATCCTATCTTTTTCAGCTTGGGTAAAATTAACATTTCTAATTGTTACCTACAAGATGGCCAAATCTTTGCTGGAGGTCCTCATCAACGCAGAACAACACTATGTCATTTCTTCCATCTCCTCTGTACCCAGTCTGTCATTTACATTCCACATAGTCATGCAGACTGGGCTCACCGTACTCCAGGTCAGAGCAGCACTCATCCGTCATTATGTGAGTGCCTCTCAGTCCTGGAAGAATGCCTTCCGCCATTGAAAGAAGAGGGGCATCCACCTGTGATTTTTGTCATTTTGTTTATAAATAAACATTTGGGGGGGCTTTGGGGGAAGAGGTGGCTTGTGGTGGGGGAACTGAAGTGCCAGGAATTCTTTTTCAACAGTAGGTGACTTGTAATTTTATATTGCAGGAAATGAATGAAAAAAGCAGACGCCTTGTGTCGGAAAAAGAGAACCTCCAGTCTAAACTGGATGCAGAAAAGCACATAATGAGAGCTCAGCTCAAGGACATGATGGAGAGACATGAGACAGAAATGCGTACACTCAATGACAGCCACAGTAAGACAATGCAAGGTATCCAGGAGAAACACGAACATGAAATCCAGGAAAAATTCCAGACTATCCAACAACTTCAGGGACAACTGCAAGGCCTGGCAAGCCCAGGAGAGGTCAGGACTGGATCTCATGAGAGCACAGATAAGGAAATGGTCAAGTTACAAGGTAATGAGTTGCTTGGCTGATCGATATTTAACAGAGAAAAATATTCCGCCTCCATTAC